GTGTGAGATCGGTATTTTCGCGTGGATGAAATCTTTCCCAGAAGAACAGATGCAAATTTGAATAGGTTTCTAGAATTTTTATGGCTTCGTAGTCGCCATAAGAACAACAAACATCGTGGGCTACATCTCTGTGCAAAAATCTTCTCAAATGATCAAGTAAAGTCTTGAAAAATTGACCGTTTGCACGGCCAATGCTTTTTAGCGCTGTTTTCGTAAATTAGTAGACTTTTCATCACTTTTTGGGCTAACGTCCATGGCTCGCACATTAACTTGTCGAATATATCCATATCTGCAAAAAGTAATGCTACGGACCTAAATTTGCTCGCCAGAAGCCAAGTGGATCCCTTTGACGCGCAATTTTCAACGGATCCACTCAACGGATCCGCTCATGTTTTTGTATAGTAAGCTTTGGTGCTGGTAGCGTGCGCTATGCAAAATTAGGGTTCAGGACGTTGACTAGAACACGCTCTACGAATTTCGTAACGGACAGACACACACAGACAAAAAGACGTAAACATCCTTAGCCGCTTATTATAAGTCATGATGTTTTGTGCATCGACAGGCGAACGCTGGAATTCGCGCGCATCAAACCGCACTGTCGCGTTTGCCGACGCGCGACGTCGCTCAATCGATGCGTTTTAGGGCAGCATACATGAGTAGTTCTCAATGTGAAACTTGTGAAACTGTAGAGTTGTGAAACTCTACTTCAGTGTGAGAGGTTTCAGAAATTGTGAGCATATGAATGGTAAGAATTCCCCCCATAGGTGCGATATTGTGAAAATTTTCTCACCCCCTCTTCACCCCTGAGCCGGGACCAAGGTGACCCCTTCACCAAAAGCCGAGAAAAAAGTCAACAGTGAGGTTAGGTTAAGCAAAGGAGATATTTGTACGTGAATTGTTTACGTACAGGAATGGAGTAGTCTGTTGAAAAAAGTGCTTGGTGACGGGTGTGAGTAGTGATTTCTGAACATTTTGGAGTAACATGAAAAAATTCATAAATTTTGTAGATAAACATATTTTATGACGAGATGGTCACCGTTGGCACCGCATCGTCCTCCGCTTTCAGAAAGCATAGAGCATTTCTAAGATCCGTTCAAAAAGTGCGGTGAAGGGCGTGCCTACTGATTCTTGGGAATTTTCGAGTTCTTAACATAAAAAATCATAACTTTTGTAGATGAACATCTTATACGCCATGATGGGAACCATTGGAACCGCCTCGTCCTCCGCTTTCAGAAAGTACATACTTCGCCTGGGGTCCGTTACAAAAAATGTCAGGTGAAGGGTGGGTGAGACTTTTATAATGGGGGTGCTCAAGTAGGCGTCTTTTTACAATCGTAGAAAAGCCTGCACTTGAGCACTCCCTTTATAAAAGTCTCACCCACCCTTCACCCGGCACTTTTTTCAATGATCCCTAGGCAAAGTAAACATTTTCTGAAAGCGGAGGACGATATGATTCCGACGGTGACCATCTCGCCGTAAAGTATATTCATCTACAAAAGTTATGAATTTTTTTATATTAAAAACTCGAAAATCTCCAAAAATCACTAGAGCACTCTTCACCCGGGCACTTTTTTCAACGGACTCCAGGCAATGTAAATATTTTCTGAAAGCGGAGGACGAGATTTCAATAATGATCATCGCAGCGTTCAAGATGTTCATCTCCAGAAATTACGGGTTTTTCTATCCTAAAAACCCGTAAATATCCAGGAATCAATACCCACACTCTTTACCAGGCACTTTTTCAACAGACTCCAGGCAAACTAAAATTCTCAAAAAGCGGAAGACAAGGTGGTTTTAAAAACATTTTCCTTGCTGACGTTGCTGTTCATCCAAGAAATTACGAATTTCTTCTTTTAAAAAATTCGTAAATGTTTGAAAATTGTCTAACTCTTTCCGAAACAAATGCCCTCGCATGCAAATCTTCTATGGTAATTCCAAAAAATATACAAGTTGCTGGTTAGAAATATAATTGTGTGCTAATCCAGCTGCTCATGGTTCACATTTCAGGAAAAAAAATAATCAGTGATGGTAAGGGACAAATTATGAACTTTGACTGGGAAATAAATGATGAGAAAACACCATGGTTCCTCCCCTCCCCCTCCCCTCCGTCGACATTTTATAATTTCTCTACCAAGTGAAACACCCTTCACCCTTGCTATTGGATCGGCATGTGCTTTAGCACAATTTACCTACACAGTGATAGGGTGCTATGTCAAAAATTCAAGCTTAAGAAGTGAATTTAGTTACAAACAGACATACAAACAGACAGACAAAGGACAGACGCTTAGCACTTTATTATATTATTTGTTGTTGTTTATTATAATACTGCACAATTATTTGTTTTAATTTGCCTATTTATTTTTTAACTAAGTACTTATTCACTGCTTATTTATATAATCTACTTTGATGTTACATATCTGGGTTCCATAATCTAATGAAACAGGGACTCGACAATGTAAGTCTGCCAAAATCCGGTAACAATATCTATTTCACGTACAGCAGCCAATGCTGTGTTGCTTATCCATGCCATATGCTACTCGAAGACCATATGTCTCCTCTTGCTCTTAATGCTCTTGGTAGATTCAAACTTGCCCTTTTCCACTTTTACTTCGTAATTTCCTGATGCAGAAAAAATGAGTTTGCCGGAATTTGCAGAGTTTCATCTATACTTATATGAAGCTGAGTGGATCGTTAGTTAGTTGTTCACTATAGAAATTTCGGAAAGCAGATTAATTAGTGCCGAACTTTGCACCATATTGCGACACCGGTCCACCCCGCAGGCTACTTTTCGCGGCGAAATTCCACTTCTTCTATTGATTTATCCATTCTGAAGATAAATAATTTTTTATCAACTGCTATGACTACTTCCAACTTTCGTATAAACAATAGTGGTAGAACTCATTTATATTTCACGATCAGGGAGCGGTGCAACGAGTCGGTTTATATCAGTCTTGAGCTACTCGAAAAACAGAAAAAACCAAATGCAGGTAAGGTTAATCCTTCGAAGTTGGCAACATACCTGTCTTTGTTGAACCAGTTAGGTTCGCGGTGCGAGCGAAGCCAAACATGCCGGCGAGCTAGTCCCTTATAATAATGGGCTGACAAGGGAATGGTCAGAAATCGAAGTGGCCAATTCAAGCAAGCTGCATACCATTCGATGCAGCATAGAATGCAGATTTCAGATCTGTCTTCCTTATCTGCAGAGCGCTTTTGTAGGCGAAGTTATAAGCCGTTAAATGTCATCATTTTGCTAAGAAATTGTGCGTGTAAAGGTCAAACTTGGCCGTACAAAGCCATTCTCGGCTCAGTGTTGGACTAAAACGTGTAACTAGGTCAGTTAATATGGCTCGTACCTAAAGGTGAGCTAAAAGAGCAGCGATCTGCCTAATTTCGCAGTTTTTGTGGACGATTTTTCCGCAGTAAAGCTGCTCATAACTTCGCCCACAAAGGCGCTCTGCAGATACGGAAGACACATTTGAAATCAGCATTCTATGCTGCATCGATTGGTATGCAGCTTGTATGGATTGGCCACTTCGACTTCTGACCATCCCCTTGTGAGGATTTTTACGTTTTTTGTGTGTCTGTCTAAAACGAAATTCATAGATTGAGTTGCAGAAAAGGTTTCAAGCTACAATTTTTGCATAACACATGCTGCCAACACAACGCCACGGTGCCAATTTTGCGTGAGCCCATATAGGCTGTTCCAACCAGCATCGGTCCCGCGTCACATGTGACGTGCCCTAACGCGTAGCAGAGTCCGCGCGCGTCATGCCGCATGTCGCCAGCTGCCGCATGCGCGACGTCGCATAAGTGATGCTGATTGATACAGCTGCTATAACTCGTTTCGGAATGATGCTCGGCAGCTAGGAATACATGCATCAACGTCTGAAACTGATTCAGAATATCTATGTCCCTTGCCAAAAGGCCGAGCTAAGTCAGGTAACTTCTCCTGTGAGATGGCAAGCCAGTGAACGTTGAAGTCTCTTCGAAGGTGGGCAGACGCCCCTTCGTTGCAGGATATTAAACTTGAAAAAACTCTCCCTCCGCGTTAGGTACCTGCTTTCCTGCAAGCCTCAAATTAGAAATGAAATTTACTGGGCATTGCTCAACGTCACAAATGAGATGCTAGGAATTACTCATTTCAGGTGCTATACCATGAAAAAATCGGTGATTTTTGACGAAAAATTCCTGCAAACAGAGAACAAATGCATTTTAAGGATGGTTGCTGGGTTGCTAATAATGTGATAGCCGAAGACAATGAGCACTGCGTTTTTTTGTTTTTTTCTACATTTCTGAGTAAAAAGTCTTCTCTGTTTATTAAGTAGAAACTAGAAAAATTGGGATTTAGTCAACTGCCTCCTTTTGGCTCCGTTTCCAAATAGGAAGAGATATTTTGACAATTTTTCGCATCAAAACGCATGCTTTGCAGATCTGCATATGGTACAAACTCATAGCTTTGTAGATTTCAGTAATACAGACCTACCTGGCGGACCAAAAGCCTCATGAATCCGCTTCGTGGGCAATTTAAGGATCCGCTTGTGCTTTTGCATGGTGAATCTAGGTGTTGGCGCGTGTGTTATGCATATATTGTAGCTTGAAACCTTGTATGCAACTCAATCTATGAATTTTGTTTCAGACAGACAGGCACAAAAAACGTAAACATTCAGCCCGTTATTATAAGGGACTAGCTCGCCGGCATTTTCGGCTTCGCTCGCACCATGGACCTAAGTGGTTCAACGAAGGCAGATATGTTGCAACTTCGAAGGATCAACCTTACCTGCATTTGGTTTTTTCCGTTTTTCGAGTAGCTCAGGACTGATATAAACCGACCCATTGCACCGCTTCCTGATCGTGATGCGCGGTGCGGCTAGGATTAGCATATCTAGAATCACCGTTTGAAGTTGATTAAGAACATGTATGTCACTTGCCAAAGAGCCGAGCCGAGTTAGGTAGCTTTTCTCATCAGAAGAAAAGCCGCTTCACTTGGCGTAGGAACTTTTATGCACGTTGACTATAGATATGTAACATTATTAGTTGCTGTGAGTGCCGGGGACTCCACAACTTCACTCCTCCTATACAAAAAATCGCATTGGTCAACACAACAAAACTGCGGCACACATTTGTACACACCGCTCAAGGTACGTACTTTAACAGAATTAATGGAAAATGATTATCGATATACACTTTTGCAAGGGTATCAAAGGATAGTTGGTCAAATTATAACTTGAGATTTTCCATATGAGATGAAGAATTATCGCGAAGACGTCATAAGCACCTGTCATTGTTTCTAGAAGGAAGTTTGATCAATCCATCCTGTGCTCCTTTGTCGCTCATAGTTAAATATTTCACATGGCAAAGATAGATTGAGTTGGCTGTTTACACTTCAGTCGTAATGGGCAGCTATGAGAAAGCGACTCGCACCTACTCTAGCCATTATTTTCATGTCAAGGTAGAAGCGCCAGTGCCTGAACGTAAACCCCTGCTTTATGGCCTTTATATCAATGACTGTTGCGTCATATGTCCACGCAAATCGAAGTAGAAACTTGCTTCGTCATCCTTGATCAACATTCGCCTAACATCGCAATTACCAGGGAAAAACCTACTGAAGAGTGGCCGGCGTTTCTGAATGTGCAGATTCGTATCAAGGGTGGGGAATATAAAACCAAATGGTATCGTAAGCCTAGTAGTAAAGATATTCTAATTCACTCTTTGTCTGCACATCCAGGCAGTATGAAGAGGTCTACTGTGGCTAACATGCGGGAAGCGGCTCTGCGCGTGTCCTCCGGCGGCAACGGGCGCTCATGTTCCATTGCCTTGACTCGGAGAGTGGCGGCGTCCAGCGGCTATGCTATGCGTGGGTGCGTCTTTGGGGCCCCGGGTCGCGTCGGGGTGGGACTCGTTGTCCCGGCAGTACCTCTGAGATCCCCTTCTGCCTGCCGTTCATCTCTGATGAGTCAGGCAGTGCAGTGAGATGCTGCGTACCACGAGCGGGTTTGCAAGGCGTGCTAAGAGTGGTCGATATCTCCCCACAGCTAATCTCAAACGGCAACTTGTTCGAAACCGCGCTTATGATTGTACTTGCCCTACTCCTAATTGTGTGGTCTGCCCATTTGGTAAAGAAGGTGACTGTATGCAGTCCGGAATCATTTATCTTATAGCATGTATTTCAGGTCCTTTCCAATAATGCTCCCCCCGCTCTACACCCTTTAATTTTTGAGAACTTTCAAGTAAGTTTTTTTTTTCAAGCAAAAAGCAAATTAATTGCGAGCTTATAACTCATGCAGGTGGTTTTCAAAAATCAACCCACTCTCAAAAAGAGCCTCTCTTCTCCTCAATCCGCCACTGGTCGAGTTAAGTGGAAACTGAATCTGTTTACCTTTGCCAGTTTTTTAGAAGATACAAGAATGACTTCAACATAACATGTTGAGAAACACTCATTTCTACAATATCTTCCCGTAAAGTAGTGCTTACACAAAGATTTGCCTTATCTTAAGTGAGTTCGACGGATTTTTGCGGACGAAACTGTGCTGGTTAGCCAATGATTGCACTGTAAAGTCAGCCGGTTCGCCTCTTTAGCGCCTCGAAGTAAGCTGAGAAGGGAGTAACAAACTCGAAATTGGTGCAAATGCTAAAACATGACTAATGAGTCTATGAACGCAAGCTTCTTTACTTATCAGTCAGAAATCTTTGTCGAACTGCGCTGCATTTTCAGTGAATTTTTTCCATCTAGTATCAAAATACAGCACTCCTGTGCTTTGTCCCACCTCAGGATTCTCTTGATCCTGCTTACAGTAGATCAAAAAATAGCTATGATACTTACCAAATGAAACCTATCGGCAGCATCAAAAACAAATGGAAGCTTACTGCTCCCCCTCAAACATTTCCACAGCCCAAATATATAAGCAGTGTATCAACGTCCTTGCGGCGAGGGGAGCCCCTCTTCCCCCCCCCCCTTGTTATGAAGGGGAAACGGGTAAACGCCGCTGCAGCTTTTTCATTAATAAGGGCGCTACCCTTGCCATACATGTTCATACGGGCTCAAACCAGACAAGAATATCAGTCTGGGCTGACTTCGGGCCTCTGAAGGAAGCCACCGACCAACTGACGAACCCGGAGCTTCGTGCCCACTGTTCGACTTAACCGTTCCGCCGGCGCCCTTCACGCAGCTTAGATGTGGGCCGACACTGTAGCCATGTCAGAGGCTCTAAGAGCCACCCATAGAGCGCTTTGATGCAGTCTTCTGTCATCTTGTCCTTCCGAAGCCAGTGAGAAGGAGTAATAATAAACCTTCTGTGCTGGACGCGCTCGTCACTTGAAGCCGGGCCATCTAACAAGGGACCACCCAACTTAGCTCGGCCTTTTGGCAAGGGACATAAACAGTCAGTCAAAACCCCCATAACTCGCTTCGGAATGGTGCGTGGCAGCTAGGTATAGCATATTTGTAATCAGCGTTTGAAGCTGATTCAGAATATGCCTTTTACCAAAAGGCCGAGCTAAGTTAAGTAGCTTTCCTTATAAGTGTCTAACAGGAAGATGATACCTAGCCGAAATCACCAATCCAGATGTGGTATATATTGAGCACTGAAACGCTGATTCCAAATCTATAAAGTGCGGTTCATAATCATACGAACACCCAAAATTTTGTAAGTTTTCGGACTTTTTGGGAGGCTCAAAAAGCCGTTGGTACCACGCGATGAACACAGCCGAAGACGTTATATGGTCCATAAGAATGGAAATCGATGTCAATTGTAGGAGTGTTTTTGCGCCTAATGCGACTTTTTAGCGGTTCATAATTATACGAACACCTCAAACAAAGGTCCATTTTTCATTCAAGATTGCAATCATTTGAGTCCAAATTTTTTGTAGGGTTACAGTAACAAAGTTTGACATATCTGCTACACACTGAAATCCAGTGCAGTTCAAAAAGAGGACCGTTATTTTTTTCAGAAGGCTCTAAGTGCTTTTGGAATGATTGCGCTCCAAAAACATCCGTTCTTCTGTGATTTACGCGCTCTAATTACCTTCTACCAAAGCTATGAGATAAGATAAACTCTTTCGATAGGTATTTTGTTTGACGCTTAGAAAATCCTTGCGTTTTCGTGCCGTTTTTCAATCAAGTTCCAACCTTACCACAGAGTTAGCACGATTTCGAGCCTCAAAACTCAGCTTCTCTCTTGCGCAAACATTTGATATGCAGTTGTTGTTTTGTTTGCGTGCAGATGTTTCTGTGCTAAAGTTTTTGTGTTTTTTGTAGAACTGATCTTGAGGCTGTGGAGCTACAAACCAAATAAAGGTGTGACTGCGATAATAAAAACAGTGTTTTTGGTGAAATGACGTCTGCGTGGCCAAAACAAACGCCCAACGCTGCTGATTTTTTCTAGTCAAATATACAGTCTTACGAACTTCTACATACTATATGCTTAGTTCATTGTACGGCTTCAGAAGCTGAGTTTTGAGGCTCGAAATCGTGCTAACTCTGTGGTAAGGTTGGAACTTGGTTGAAAAGCGGCACGAAAACGCAAGGATTTTTCTAAGCGTCAAACAAAATACCTATTGAAAGAGCTTATTTTATCTCATAGCTTTGGTAGAAGCTAATTAGAGCGCGTAAACCAGAAGAACGGATGTTTTTGGAACGCAATCATTCCAAAAGCACTTAGAGCCTTCTGAAAAAAGTAACGGTCCTCTTTTTGAACTGCACTGGGTTCAGTGTGTAGCAGATATGTCAGACTTTGTTACTGTAACTCTACAAAAAATTTGGAATCAAATGATTGCAATCTTGAATGAGAAATGGACTTTTGTTTGAGGTGTTCGTATAATTATGAACCGCTAAAAATTCGCATTAGGCGCAAAAACACTACTACAACTGACATGGATTTCCATTCTTATGGATCATATAACGTTTTCGTCTGTGTTCATCGCGTGGTACCAACGGCTTTTTGAGTTTCTCCCAAAAAGTCCGAAAACTTACAAAATTTTGGGTGTTCGTATAATTATGAACCGCACTTTAGTTTTTCCCAGCCGCGGAACGGTTTTTTGAAAGGAGTTTGAGGGGTGCTTCCCTTATCTACGAGCACTACATAGGAGTCCCAACTGGTGGCAACTGGCTTACTGGTAAGTGGCTTGCTTGATAAGGAGAATACTAATGTTCCAATCCTTTCGCATGCAACTGCATTGCAGTTTTTGCAAAACCGAGCTTCTAATGGCTTTGCAGCTGTGAAGCCTGAAATTTCTGATGATACTGATGCTACTCGAAGTTAAAAACGTTGAAAAAAACTGAAATGTGAGTATTATGATCTTTAATGCAATCTTCATTCAAACTGCTTACCACTATGCCAGCCGGCACCATTTTATGTTCCTATAATGCTCGTAGACAAGAGCCGACATCTGAAGTGCCCCTCAACCTCAAAAGGAAACACCCTCATTATTCGTTCGACAAAACCGCTCCGCAGCCAAAAACTACAGTTTTGGAATCAGCGTGTCAAGCGCTTTAAGATGATATGTGTCTCATCTGGATTGGTGCTTTCGACTAAGTACCCTCTCCTCGTAAGTAAGTGTCATTCGGCAAAGAGTCTTCTTCGGCGAGCTTGTCGCTTGCCTTTGGATGAGCAGTCTGAAGCTGAAATCGTGAGCATTGCCCACGAAAATGGGGTCTTGCATAAATATAAACATGTCTTTCTACGCTTCAGCTAACACTAACGCTTGACATCTCAAGCAGAGTTCACGCGATATCATCCCCCTCGCGGTTCTTCCGACAAGACAACGCTTACGAGTCCATAGCACGCCGATCATCTTGGGTTTCGGCTGTGGCAGTTAATCACGATCGATTAGTTGTGTCGAAAAACTACCACAAACAAAGCGCAAGACAATCGACATGCAAGTGAGTCGTAATGCTGCCTTATCGGAAAATGGAAGCTCGATTCACAGTTTTGGGGAAGGCCTTTGCGGCACGGCTTCATCTCTCATTAATTGAGAAGCAAGCCGCCAAATTTGAGTCGCCCTCAGGCTTGCTCGTTGGTTTCCGGCTGTCATAACAGCCGTGCCTCCATACTTACATGACCTTTTCATTATTTGAGAGTGGATTAGCATTTGCAGAATATTCTGCTATTTAAGTTGAAAGCTTTGTCCGACTGTATTATTTTCTGTGGGTTGTTATCGTCCTTGCTCATGATATTGTTGCCGATTATTGATGCCTGTAGTAGGCAATCCGCAATGCCATCAGTCCTTTGCCTTGCACTTACGAAAAAAGAAGCAAGAATGGCAGATAGAGTGGAAAATGTGGCCACTTCGATTATTTCAGCTGTAAGTGTAAGGAATGGGACTTAGCTGTGAACTCTGAAATGAGCAAAACAACTTTAGGCTATTGGCTATTACGTTTTGATTGGAAATGCTTGAAATAACGAAAAAAGTAAGCACGCGGCTAACAATATAGAAATGTCCAGAGTAATGTAGCTAGATTTTGGGAAAAGAGGAAGATGTAACGAAGTTGATTCGGAAACTTTCGGAAAGAGGGTCTGATTTTCGGCTTGGAAAATTCCGAGAAAAAACGTGAGAGAAAAGTGATTGCTGCATTTTTCGCTTTCAAAAGCATCAAATTCTAGCATTCCTTGCGAAAGGTGTATCACCATTTAGAAATATATAAATCAAGTCCAGCACTTTATGACATTGCATGTCCGTGTTTTGTGGTTTAAGAGCGTGAGAAGCCTATGTTGAGGCTGGAGTCTGCCCGTCCATATCAGCAAATGAGCAGAGTTTACAAAACCGCTCTTCAACTCATTTATCGGGAAGCTCAGCGGATCCATAACTGTCGTCTGAAATGAACAAGAGCTTGAAAACTTCTCAAACCAGCTGTATTAAAGCACATTCACTTTTGATGCTTTTGAAAGCGAAAAATGCAGCGATCATTCTTCTCTTTGGAAAGGAGAGTCGCAGATGTTGGTTTCACATTTTAGTACGTAAATGTACCAAAAAATTGGAGAAGGGATGCGATAGTGCTAAAAAAAACCATGTGTCTTTATAAATTTGTCCAGCTTTCGGTGCGGCTTTTTCGGATTTCTAAACTTCTTTCCGTTCGAACTCAACAAGATTGGAAGCCGTTGTGAGAGGTCATGGTAGACTAACATGCGCACTGTACAGCAAAGTTTCGGACAGACTCCTCAACAAAAACGCAAATTACGACGATTTCTAAAGTGTCTTTATAATTATATTCAGCAGAGCATCTTAAATGTGTTTGAAAAAATAAAACTCGGCGAATTTGGCTAGCAAATATTCAAGAACAGATTTGTGGTCAGTTTGGCCAGAAAAAACATTAGGAAAGCTACTTTCGGGCTAGGCGCCTTTCAATTCCATCATTTCTTCATCATCACAAAGGGCGTACTTTATAAGAAGAGTCTCCTTTTAATTTATTGCGATCTGATCTTCTTCTCTGCTTCGTTTAGTTCCTTCATCATCTCTGCTTCAGTGATACTTAGAACTTACAGTCTTTTTCAGCCCGGAGTAGGCAAAACACTCAGAGCAGCGCGTACGACCGCCACTGGCTCAGCGAGATAGATTAGAATGAAGAGACGCAGACTGCAAAGCAGCGCGAATCGTTCCGAAGCGGATTCCCGCCTTTCCATTTTCCGCCTAACCTAAGCTGAAACTTACTACGTATGGACTGTCCTCACGTGATATGCGGGCCTCAGTACAGAAGTTGCCATTGGTCCCTGTCCTTCGCTTCGGACATTCAGAATCTTCTTGGTTGTCGTCGGTGGCGGCGTTCACGAGTTCCAGGTGTAACAATCGTATCCAGCTGATTTCTCAGCTGGTCCATCTGTTCCAGGAAACATCTGACCATCTTGTTGGTGGTCTCGGGGACGTTTGGCTTCGCGAGGAATCCATGCGGATGTTCTTAGTGTCCATCTGTTGTTTTCTCATGATGTGACTCACCCACCGGTGTTTCGCTTTCGCAACATATTCCGCTGGATCACGAAAACGGGACATTCTTCTCATATCCGTACTGCGAAGTCCGACCAGATGTTGCTTGTGTCGGGCCATCTTCAGAACACTGCCGCTCGAGCTCTTTGTGGGTGGCTCTTAGAGCCTCTGACATGGCTGCAGTCGGCTCAAGTCTCAGCTGCTCAAAGGCATCGTCCACCCAGATTCTTGACTTCCAGGTTTTTGTCGTTTCAGGGCCTTTTCATGTCCCTGATTCCAAATATGAAGTCGAGAATCCACGAAAACCCCGACAGTCCCCATTCCGGAGAACCCACAGGCCGGCTTTCCAGAACGGTGATTGGATGAGCGCGCACAAATGGGCGGGCATGAATGGGGAGGGGCGGGCATGGATAGGGGTCCTTGTGCATCTTCGCTATTCCAAAGCGATTTTCTCGCTTCCAAAGCGGCATATTGCGCCGCGACTTGGGCGTTGGCTTGATAGAAGGCCCTACTGTTATATGCTGCCAAGAGCTCAACACCCTCCACTTAGGGTGGACGGTGCCTTTAAAGGGCGCCGGCGGAACGGTTGAGTCGAAAAGGTGGGCACGAAGCTCCGGGTGCGTCAGTTGGTCGGTGGCTTCCTTCAGAAGCCCGAAGGCGGCCGAAGATGCTCTTTTTCTCCTGTCAAGTTCTTTCCTCAAGTCGTTCTCCATGATCATTGAAGAGTTTTCTATGTCCATCGCCCGAGATGCACGTAAAAAGACGTCTTCATGACAAGGGTGCCTACCATTTCCATTTCTGCATCTTTCTGCATCGAAGGCTTTTTCCTAGTTGATAAAGGTTAGGACGAGAGACTTTTGGTACTCCCGGCAGACTTCTATGACCCTCGCCGTCTCGATGTGGTCCACGCAGCTGAATCCTTTGCGAAATCCAGCTTGTTCTTAGGGTTGGGCTTTATCCAGTGTCTTAAATATGCGAGCGAGGACAATCTTGAAAAACTTGTAAAACACATTCAGCAGGCACTTTGGAGGTAGTTTCAAAGATCCTCCCTTTCACCCTTCTTGAAGAGAAGGACGGTGACGGTTATTGACATTCTCCACTGGTCGAGAATCGACCAGTGGAGATTAGAAAGATGGTCTGATTCTGGAGCCGTGGAGCCTTCATGGTTTGAATCGCCACTTTAGCAAGTAGAACTCTTGATGGTACCCCTCCAGTGGTAACAACGGGCGGAAGAGGTTGGTGTAGAAGTTCTTCTTGAGATTCAATCTTATATCGGGAAGAAGTTGGAGTCCCGTCTTCGTTCAAAAGCGCAGCCAGCGATACATGTTGTTGGCAGAAGTCCCTTCAGTACATCTTGAGACTTCGTCTTCCTTCGGCTGCTTCCAGTATCTTACCTTGCCTGTACTTCCTGAGATCCTCCTGCAAAGCTGTTCTGCAAATGGCATTGGCTATCGGTAGCACGAGATGCATTCGGATCCTGCCTCAGAAATCTTCTTCTTTCGGGCGATTCCTTGGTTGTCTTCGAAAAGCGTTCCAAGTTCTTCTAAGAGGTCACTGAGGCGCACTTTCCACAGCCTCGCAATTCTCCGGAAGCCGGTCGTAGTTGTACGTTGGGTCCTCTTCGATGGGCCAGTCACAACTTCATATGAGCTCTCAAGCCTGTTACCGTTATGAGCGATTTCCTTCTTTCTTGTGACACTGTGACAGAACTTGTTTTCCAGCTTTCGACTAAATCGTATTTTCGCTCAAAGGAGGCGGTGATCGGAGCCACTGCAAGAGGATGGAACTACTAAGACATCAAGCAAGCTCCACATTCAGTTGGTGAGAATGTGGTCGATCTCCGCATGAGTCGTTCCGTTAGGCGATTCCCAAGTCCATCAGCGATTTCTCTCTTCATAAAGGTGGAATTTCCATGGAGAAGTCGTGCGGCGGAGAGAAGCCCAACGAGACGGTTGCCGTTTTCGTTCCGGAGGCCATATCCAAATTTCCCGATCCTAAATTCCTCTTCTAGTGGCATCATCTTCGTGTTGAAGTCGCCCACAACAAATTTGTAAAAGGACTTCTCGTTGCGGACGACCTCCTCCATATCTTCATAAAAAACATATAGTTCTAACTCGTCAGCTGCTAATGTTGGAGAATAGCAGTTGATGACGGTGGTGGTCTTCTGACGTGGAGGTCATAGTCGTAGGATGGCTAGTCGAGGCGATAGGATCTCATGCGAACTGGCAAGATGGACGATAGATGAGTGGACCACAAAGCCAACGCCTTCAACGTTTCGTAATGGAACTTCTCACCAGGAATGATGAGAATCACATTCCCTGTCGCACGTCCTCCCCCTCCCCCCGTCGTCGTATCCTGCTCAGCGATGACAAGGTATGCTATGCTTGATATGCTCTGCAGCGTCGAGAAGAGCTTGGAGGTCGGCATTTGTGAAGACTATCTTGGAGTTTTGGCTGAGAGTCGACTGTGCCAGATCCCCGCGGTCTGGCTTTCCAGTCTCTAGGCGGTCTTCCCGCCCCCACCCGGGATCAGCGACCAGGGGAGAGAAAGAGAAAGAAACCCTGAACATTGAATCTCGCCCAGGGCGCCTGCTGGTAGCAAGAACGATGTCAGGGTTTTTAATGCGTCTTTTAGATCGAACGAAAACGACACGTCTGCCCGGACGACACGCCATGGAGACTGCCTCATGCTCTGCACCTACAACACAAGGCATAGTGTATGAACTTACCAAATTTGATGCTTGCAGGCAGTCAGCTTAGTAAATGCATTCTTTGAAGTAGTATCTCATATCGTAATAAGCTAGAATCAATAACCTCCATCGCAGAGCATTTTTTGTTTACAAAGTACGAATGAGCAGTTTCCATGCGCTCTCTTCTTTGAACTTGGCATTACGTTGATTTTATAAATAACTAGTTGACTTACCCGGCTGCGCCCAGCCCTGTCATTATTATATTCGTAATCAGCATGGTCGATTACTCCCCTTTGCCAACTCCCAGCGCATAGCTCAAATTTTGCAAAAAATCGATAAAATCGATATCGATTGATGACGAAAAGTAGTCTGTGACACCCGCCGGGGCCCGAAGTGTATGTGTACCAAGTTTGGTCCTGATTGGTTCAGAAATGGAATTTTCTATTCGGAACATACGTACATACAGGCAGACAGACAGACATACAGACAGACAGACATACAAACAGACATTCAAGCTTCATATATAAGATGTTGTGCCAAACAGGTTTTTTTGGTGGATGTTTATTGAATAAATGAACAAAAATACGGATGAACATTTTTGTTTACAAAATACCGATGTTCATTAGAAGACATTCGATTTTTTGACTTCAAAATTTTTTTTATAGCTAATAAGGTTGGCAAGTCTTTCGGCGCAGAAAACGTTTTTTTTGAAATTCAAAAACTTCGACGCAAATGGCTAGCAAGCTTTTCTAATATTGTACTATTGCCAGTCGCCTTCGTGCTTCTCAAAAACCTTCCAGCATATGAGAAATGGAGCACTTCATTTCGTGAGTCAGTCTATCCAGCAATAGGATTAATCCAGTTCGCTAACCCATCGGTTTCTAAATACCGATATCGAGGGTTATCAACTTTTTACCAACCCAGTGGATATCGCTGAAGTACGGATAGAACCTTCATCTTCTGCTACCCTCAGCGCCCGCTCTCTGCCCCTGCCTTCGACCCATAAGTGAGTTTTGTACTGCGCAGAGAGTCGTTCTCTACCGGAAGATATTAATCTCCGAAATGACACTTTCCAAGTTGTCGCATCCTTCGCAGCGCAAATGAAATTCAATTATTGATTATTGATTACATGAGACCGTGGAAAGTGATCCGTTAGCGGTTAATAAGCCTTATTTTCATCGCAGGACGCCAGAAATCAGTAGGTTAGCAGTCGCAAAGTAGCCTAATTTTACTCTAAGTCAAAAATATATGTATGCAAAATTCCAGCTTGTTCGCTTCAAGAACAGAGGAGTCTCGAGTTTTGTACATGCACTTAGATTATTACAGCCATGATAGAAGAAGATGGATCAAAAGATGTTAAATCAGGAGAAGGACTTAAGCCGCAATCCGTAGAAAAATCGTCTGATGAGAAATCTGGTGACATGAAACCAGCTGAAGATAAAAAAACTGGGGAAAGTGCTTCCAAGGAAATGGTTTCAAAGCCTGAATCAGTTGTGTTACATCATAATAACATTTGTACTTGGGCACATCTCGTACTTGCAGAAGTCTACAGAGGGGAAGCTCAGTTCTGAAGACAAACGAAATCAGACCTCAGCAGAAAAAGTTATAAAAGATGACGATGTTGACAAAGCAAGGAAATTGGGTGAAGAAGAGGGAAAGCAGGAACAAGTGAAGGTGGGCAGTTTTTCATGAGTAAGTTACAACCCTACATTACCAACGAGAACTTCATTGTGAGGAAAACAATCACAGTACACAGATGATTTATTGATTTCATTCAGAAAAAGGGTTCTATTTGGAAAATGTCAATATTAATAGCCATTAATGTACTCAACTACATGGACAGATTTACCGTAGCAGGTATACTGCGACTGTTGTGCCTTTTCTGCCAACTTTAGGTTAGCTTAAGGAGTTTTATCTGATGTACAAGCATTCTATAGTATGAACGATGCCCAAGCTGGTTTGCTACAAACCGCCTATATGGTATTCTTTATGTTAGTATCGCCAGTTTGGGGATTTTATGGAGACAGGTGAGCTTTTAAAGTGAGTAGTTGATTCTAATTGTTTGCAAAAAGTGCTTCAGATATAATAGAAAACACTTAATGACAGGCAGTCTGATCCTTTGGACATGCACAGTTTTGCTCTCAACCTTCATTCCAAAGAGTGTTGGTTTTATTTCGTCCTAGCGTAGTGCTCTGCCTACATGGTTGCAGCTAATACATAAAACTTTTTGACACTTTTTTGTCTCAGGGTTTTTTGATAGTCAATACATAGTAAGTTTCAACTCAGTTCAGGCGGAAATTGGACTGGCGGAAGTCCGCTTCGCAACGATTCGCGCCGCTTTGCAGTCTGCGTCTCTTCATTCTAATCTATCTCGCTAGGCCAGGGGCGGTGCTGACGCGCTGCTCCACTTGGGATCTTTCGTCTATTCCGGGTTGAAAGACTGTAATTTCTATAAAACAATATATTATGTACTCGTAAATGTATTCCTGCCCGCTATTCAGGCAAGGACGTGTTTTACTTCTATTTGTTTCAGATGTTCTGGCTCTTTGTTATTGCTCGCGGTGTGATAGCTTTGGGAGAGGCAGGTTTCTCTACAGTGGCACCGTCTGTAGTTGCTGACATGTTTGCTGGTGGTAGCAGAAGTCGCATGCTTATGCTATTTTACTTCGCGATGCCATGTGGAAGGCGAATATATCAATAGTCGTGAAGTCAACTGGCTAAGAAAAAATACTTGCAGCGGTCTTGGTTTCATAATCGGTGGTAGGGTAGCAGCTCTGGCCGGACACTGGACCTGGGGTGTAAGAATCACATTCGTAGTCGGTAAGTCCACTTGCTAGATTATTGCACTTTCTGAAAACTGTCCATAAAGTCTATATTTAGGTGCTGTTTGTATCGCATTCATGGCCTTCTTTTTGGACGAGCCTGAACGAGGCGCTGCTGAGAAAGAACAAGGCGAAATTTTGAAATCATTTGCAGCTAGCACTTATTATGAAGATCTCAAGGCTCTCGCTACAAAGTCGGTCACCGCTATTTTTTGCTAATCTGTTAGACAATTTTCAGCTTGACTTATATATTCGGAACCGCAGGGTATACCGCAATAGTATTCACTGTTGGTACCTTATCTTGGTGGGTTGTCGTAACTGTAGTGCACAATGAAGCCCACCAAATGGGTTTAAACCACACACATCTACTGGAAACAGAACGAAAAGATCGGTAGGTGATACAAGTTTAGGTTGGTGCAAAAATAATGCGCGTTTTGCGAGTTCTCATTTTGACGTGCTATAACTTTTTAAGAAATCCATATTTTTTAGTGCGGCAAAGTTCATCAGAGGCACCAAATCTCTCTCTATACAGCGCACATTAATTTATGTTATTGTCGCAAATCGGTGGAAAAATATGGATTGACAAGCAAAAAATTTTTTTTCGGAAACCTCGTATTTAAATGATCATAACTTCCTTCAGGATTTGTCGGTATGAATGATAAGTTGACTGTCTTGTAGCGGCAAGCCAGTAGTACAAAAAAATGCAAAAGGGCTCTAATAAAGAATATTTGCGAAAGGGAAAAAATATTTCAAAATAGTCTGTTTTTTTCGACATTTTTTCGTAGCCCTCAAAATCCCAAAATATGGAGATTTTTGATTTTCTGTGTACTGAACAGCTTCCACATTTCTGCAAAAACTGTCAGTAGGAGGCCCACCCTTACGCTTACAGAAACGAGCAGAATTTTGGCGATTGCCCTTTTCAAAGGAAATTTATGGGTCACAGAATGGCCAAAACTATCACTCATGTTGAGGCGCCGAGATCTCAGTCTAAGTAATTTCTAGAAAAACAGTAAAGCATGCATTATGTAGAAAATTTCCACTTCACACAGTAGTTAGATTTTCAAAAGAATGCCTTTACTCGCGCTTGAATTCTGGCCTAAAAAGTAAGTGCAATGAAATTCTGGTTTTGAATGTTCTTGTATGAAGCTCTATAAATTTTTAACGAATGAGACTAGAAGCTTCTTTCAACCACCGTTGAATAGAGCATGAGAAAAGCTTCTTGAAAAGTGCTGGTTAAGTTTTATAGAAGAAACTTCGGTGGAGATAAGCTATCTTAAACAAGGGCTAGAAAAACGCGCATTACTTTTGCACCAACCTAATATAATCATCAGCTAAACCATCACATTAGCCCTATCTCATTTCTTCTGTTGCAAACGCCACAAATTAGCTGTCAGCATTATCTTGGTTACAAGCTTCTTCACTTCTATGCAGAAACCTTCAACTTTCTCTTTCAGAATTAGTTTGATCTTTGGAGCGATCACTTGTGTCAGTGGAATTGTTGGTGTCGCTTTAGGTTCAATTCTTTCTATGGTATGGGCTTCATTAAATGAGTTTCCAAAAGTATATTTCTTATGCAGCTTATCCGTAACGGTGTTGGACCATTTAAATGTGTACAAACTGAACGATCGGACCCAATAGTATGTGCAGTGGGATCTTTTCTTGCTGCGCCATTGCTGTACCTATCGATGATTTCGATCCCAGTCAATATGGGGGCTGCTTGGGTAGGTCCTTTAATCAAATAGATGAGGAGTATTAGCGGAATATACGTATTCGATCTAAGTAAACGCAAGAATGTTCTGTTTAACTTTCAAACTTGTGAGACCAGAGTGGACAGAATGATAGCAAAACATTACGCTATCTTGGATTCCTTCTGGATTTTTCTACACCTTTGAAATATTTTATTACAGGTTCTGTTCTTTTTCACAATCACTGTTGCATGTTTCAATTGGGCGATTATAGTGAATATGATGATGGTAAGCTGAAAACCTATACAAGACATACAAATGCGTCGAACGTTTGATCTTAACAACTCCTCTTTCGAAATTCTTTCCCGGATATTTAGTTAGCATATTGTAAGGCGGGCTTCCTTAAAATTAGACACCAAAAAATTACATCTCTGTTCAATACACTGTTGCAATAGCGCAATCTCGGCATTGCAAATACATTTCAAAAAAATTTGGAGCGTTTGACAACTTTTGTAAGATTTTCGGACCTCTCGGTTTTGGTAGTAGATAACACTGCGTACGTTTGTGGGACAGTTCAGATGGTATGATCACTTTTTTTGTTGATTATTGGGAAAGTCGCTCACATTTTTTGATTGTCGGAAATTTTGTACTAAGCTCGTATATGGAGTTCCTATGCTAATAATCCGTAACAGAGCTTCCAGCCAACGATTAAGCATTTTATGCTCTCATTGTTGCAAAGCCGTTCCAAGTTTTTACCGTAATGCTACAGTAAAAATCAGTAGCGATTAAACGTTTGAGACACTTTTAGGACACATTGTACGTGCGCTTATGCGGGGAATTTAAGCTTGCTAGTAAATGATAAACGTCGCTGTTGAACTGTACAGAACGATGTCATTTATAACATGGATTTCAAGATTCATATAGAGATCGTGCATCATTGACATTTGGTATCGATGAACGGCAACGTGCACACAAAGTGGGGGTAACGAGATTTTGATGTTATACGGTAGACAAGGCAAATGCCCCACTTGCGCTGCGAAACGGTGAACTTTGCTTCCGAGGCGAGAAATCCACTCAGGAAGGAGCAGATCCGTTTACCAGATCATTTCGCCTACTGAGCTTTCATCTGTTTTACCCAAAAATGTTCCCATGGTTCCATCAACTGGCACATGTCAACTCGAATGAGCGCTTCAGATTTGCTAGAATCAACGTCAGGGCGCGGCAGGCGTTGATTTGGAGCAGTCTTGCAAACGAAGTCCCGATGACTTCGAGAAAATTTTCGAAGTCCTTTTTGGCGTAAAAGTTATTAGAGGAACCCTTATTTAATCAATAACAATAAAAAAGCGAAAAAAAACGCATTTTGAGGTAACTAATACAACAAAAAAGCATAAAAAACATTCTGAGTTGATGAAAGGCTGTCATTGAGTATGGTGCCATTTTAGTGTTCAGAATGTTGAAAACCTCTTAGGTCAGCCAAACCTGTGGCCTCAACAATTTGGCGATGCATTTTGCCACGTAGTTTAAAGGACACATCATGTGATTGGAGCGCAATATCTATCAATGCTTAGTTGCACTACTTTTGGCTCAAAAAAAAGATGAGAGGTAAATATTTGATTTGATCTCTTCGCTATATGATAGGTTTTTGCGCGCTTTAATTGTCCAAATCAAAAAAGGTCCAAAATATGTGGACTATATGTGGGCTCTCCGATATCTATGCTCCGAAACACAGGTGCGATAAGGTGAGAATGATTCCTCCAGGGTGAAGGGGGTCACAATGGTCGCAACCCCTCCAGGGTGAAGGGGGTTTTACTTGGTAAAGAAATCGTAAAATGTCGACCATTGAAACCGCCTCGTTTTCTGCTTCCAGAAAATATATACTTTGCCCGGGGTCCATTCGAAAAAGTGCCGGGTGAAGGGTGGGTGAGACTTTTATAATGGGAGTGCTCAAGTACAGGCTTTTTTACCATTGTAAAAAGGCGTCTACTTGAGCACTCCCATAATAAATGTCTCACCCACCCTTCACCCGGCACTTTTTTTGACGGACCCCAGGCAAGGTATATATTTTCTGAAACTATCTCGGCGTACAAGATGTTCATCTAAAACAGTTACGAATTTTTTTATGATAAAAAATCGAGTATCTTCAAAATTTACCAAGCACACCCTTCACCCAGGCACTTTTTTGAATGGATCTCAGACATGCTATATATTTTTTGAAAGCGGAGGACGAGGCGGTTCCAACGGCGGCCATATCGGCGTACAGTATGTTCATCAGCAGAAGTTATTAATTTTTAAAAAAAAATCGAAAATCTTCAAAAATCACTAGGCAAACCCACTGCACTTTGTTGAATGGATATCAAACGCTCTATATATTTTCTGAAAGCGGAGGGCGAGATGGTTCCAATAGTGACCATCAAGGCGTACAAGATGTCAAAAACCCGAAAATCTACACAAATCACTACTTACACCCGTCACCAAGCACTTTTTTCAACAGACTCCTCCTTTCCTATACACTGACAATTCACGTACAAATATCTCCTTTGCTTAACATTACCTCACTGTTGATTTTTTTCTCGGCTTTTGGTGAAGGGGTCACCTTGATCCCGCTCAGGGGTGAAGAGGGGGTGAGAAAAGTCTCACACTATCGCACCTGTGCTCCGAATCCAGTTGATTTGGTGTTGGAGAAACCAACAAATTCGGAAACAGGTATTAGGACACAAGTTTTTGGAACCTCTACATAATATAGATTAGAGTAATATTGTATACATATAGTCTAAATTTGGTCTCATATGATCGTTTGTGCGCTGTAAACAAGCCATTTGTTGATTTGAATCTTGTTTGATATTCGCGCGATTGCGAAAGAAAATGTTCAGCTCGTAAAACCTGATATGTTTGCTTTTTTCTTTCTTTCCGCCCAGAACCTTATAAAACGATATCCTCGTTGCTCATAAAACAAAGTCCATTTTGAGCCCAGACCATCTGTGCCGGGCCCTGGTTAACGTGTTAAGGATCGAAAGGCAGCCACGGTGATGGTACCTGTGGGAGCAATTCTGAGGGACAAATCACGTCTCCCCTCGAATGTTTTGACGTAGCGAAGCTCGATCGATACGCATATCGCGTAGCAATGGCATCTACCTGCCATCAAGACCAGAGGTGCGATAGTGGGAGGCGATTCTCCCCCTAACTTTTGAGCTGGTACAGGGTGACCACCTTCACTTTTAAAGGAAAAATTCTTCCGCTGAACGATAAAGAAGGAAAATAAGCAAAACAAACGCAAAAAAGATTATTGAAAGCATATTTTTGTGAATACGGCGGCATATATATTCAAAATGAACATGCTTAGTAAATGATGTGTTTTGAAGTGAAACTCAGCGAAACTTCACAGATTTTATTAAGTAAATTTTGTTATAACGTACCGCGAAAAAAGTAGGTCGATCCAGGCAGTAACGGCCGAGAACCAGAATTTCGAATGATAAAATAACGATAAATTATGCAAAATTTCACTGTTATAAAGCTGTTGTTTGAAGCAGTTGCGACTTTATAGGTTTTGAAGGGCAAGTGTTGTTCCATCAGATAGTGAAAGAATCGAGTCGATTTGAGAGATGGTCATCGAAAAACTAGAGTTCTAAAAATTTACGCCATTTTGCATGTTTATTGACTGCTGACGGTTAAACTCATTTAAATCTCGAATTTGAAAGTGTGTAATGTTGCGACTTCATAGCTTTTATAGAGTAAGTTTCGCCTTTTCAGAATATATCTTAGCCGTACGAATCCATTGAGATACCGCTGAGATTCAGGCTCTTGAAAAAACAGGAAAAAAACAGCTTTTTGAAATTCAACAGCTCATAACTTCTCCAGAACTGCATGAATCATGTTGCGACTTTATAGGCTAGATTCTGCTCATCAAGAGCTTTTAGATATATACAATATGTGGGGGTTTAGGGCCTCCTACGAATTATGTCCGGGGGAGGAGACTTTCATAACAAAGTCTCCCCTGGGCCGGTAGTAATCCCCCGACCTGGCGGCAGGTCTCGTCGGCAGATCGCTGGCACTTTTTCCGTGAGGTGGCCAGAAAGTGAAACCCCAAATTCAGGCCATCCCAGGCCTATTTCCAAAAAATTTTCTCGATAAGATGGCGCCTCGACTCTGTGGAAAACTCCATGGAAATCTGCGGTTTTAGAAATCCTCCTGTAGGGAAATATCTGGAAGCGCAGAAGGAGGTGCCGGCAACTTCGCGATGTAAGTTGCCGGCAACATGCCGGCAGCTCGTCAAAATCCGCGAGATGGCAGCTGCCGGCAGGTCAGAGAGCACGGGAAATAGCGTGCTCTTTTGAGTGAGGGAGCTGCCGGCACCTCGACGTGCCCCTACCACGTCGAGGTGGTGGCAATTTTGCCGACGGCGTCTGCGAGTTTGCGATTTGCGGCGATATCACACAATTTACGTCAGGCGAAAAAATCAAAAATTCTACTTTTCATTGAAAAACTATCATTTTTCTCATTAAATGAGTTTTTCTTTTTTAAAACGACAATTTTCTTACGCAAAAATCCAGTAATGCGTTAGAATCGTAAAGAACACAATCTTTTTTGGCAATCCCTTATAAATCTCGTCTGCACCGATTTCGCCCTTCTCTCGCTCATATCAATCAGCTGTTCTTTCAAGTCAAAATCTCTCACGAAATGTATCGATCCCTCTTACAGGCAGCCACTTACCAGCGCGTTCCTCCTATTGCTGGTGCAAACGGCGATGGTTGACCGAATGGTCGAATGGTCAACGAGGTGGCACTTCACGTTAACGTACATAGGTTCGACCGCGCGTGAGGTAGCAATTTTGCAGCTGTCTGCGTCGTCAAAATTTAATCTGCGAAATGATTGCGTGCTAAGGTTACATAAGATTATTGAAACCTATAATCACTCCGCGAGCTGCCGGCGGAGTTGGCATCTTTCTGCGATGTGTGCCAACTTGCCGGCATCTATGACGCCACCAGGTAGGGTAGATTACTACCGGCCCTGGCGGGCTCCCCCCAATACATTAAAGTGGGCTAGGGGAGACTTTGTGATGAAAAGTCTCCTCCCCCGGGCATTCGTAGGAGGCCCCTATACCCCACATATTGTAATTCGTCTGAAAGCTCTTGATGAGAAGAATCTAACCTATGAAGTCGCAACATGATTCATGCAGTTCTAAAGAAGTTATGAGCTGTATTTCAAAAAGCTGTTTTTTACCTGTTTCTTTAAGAGCCTGAATCTCAGCGGTATCTCAATGATTGGTACGGCTAAGATATACTCTGATAAAGCGAACCTTACTCCATAAAATCTATAAAGTCGCAACATTACACACTTTCGCATTCGAGATTTATATGAGTTTAACTGTCAGCTGTCAATAAACACGCAAAAATGGCGTAAATTCTTAGAACTCTAGTTTTTCAACGACCATCTCTCAAATCGGTTCGATTCTTTCACTATCTGATGGTACAACACTTGCCCTTCAAAACCTATAAAGTCGCAACTGCTTCAAACAACAGATTTATAACAGTGGAAATTTCGCATATTATCGTTATTTTATCATTGGAAATTCTGGTTCTCGGCCGTTACTGCCTGGATCGACCTACTTTTTTCGCAGTACGTTATAACAAAATTTACTTAATAAAATCTGTAAAGTTTCGCCGAGTTTCACTTCAAAACACATCATTTACTAAGCAGGTTTATTTTAAATATATATGCCGCCGTATGCATAAAAATATGCTTTCAGTAATCTTTTTTGCGTTTGTTTGGCTTATTTTCCGCGCACTGGCGGCAACGACCTGGACCGGCACTACCACCTTCACTTTTGGCCGGCCAGTGGTAGCTGGGACCACCTTCACTTTTGGTGGGTCCGGCTCCCCCCATCGCATTTCTGGTCAAGACGAGCAGCCCTACTTGCAAATGACATGACCCGCTTCGTTGCATTTTTTCGCTTGCTAAGTAGCCTCCAAGATTTTTTTGGTACTTTTCCGTTATCAGGACCCTTTTTTTTTGAAAAAAACTGTTTCTTTTGCTGCATCATGTTCAGTGAGAACTTGACAGGATGAAAAGTATTTTGTAGCAGCAAAAACTAAAACGTGAGTCATCTCGAATGGGTGCGTGGCGTTAGGTACCCAGCCGAGGTGCGGGCGTTGGGTACCCAGCCGTTAGTGGTATACACTAAGAAACTCCCCTTGGTTGCTTTAACTGCGGGTACCTAACGATACACCGAGTCCTAGCTGCTAGAACAGTTCATTTAACTCGATAAAGCGCTGGCGCTTGCTGCTTATCAAATTTGGAGTGAGTAAAAGAGCAAAAAAATTGGGACATTCTCTTCAGGTAAGCAAATTTTTGAGTAATAGTGCTAGTAACTCTGACTCAGAGTCCCAGAATCACTGATCTGATAACATTTCATTGACGAAACAACCAATAGCGAGCAACAAGCAAATGTTTTTCAAAAATTTACATATGCATTTATATATTCATTACAAATCAAGTGTGAAAATGACCATTCTAATGTTTGGAGATGTGAGATTGAGTGTCGTAACCCCTCGTGTTAATGTTGCTGCAGAGAAACCGTGTACTGCCATTATATTGTAGATTAATAAGTCAGTTTGTTTCGGTCATTGCTGAAGAAAACGGATTTATTGAGAAAGTTCTGATTGATAAGCACGCATACACAACGGTACCTAACGCCCCTCCCCCTCCGTCTCGAATCCATCCTGTTTTTTTGAATATTAGCACTATTTTTGCTCAACGAATTTAGGACATTATTCCACAATAATATCATCTTGCCAGATGAACATATAGAGTATTCCCAGTACAAAAAAGAGCGCTTGGATTCTATATCATCAGAGTCGCGAAAGAGCTGCAGCGCGGTATTCAACGCCATCAGATTCTATTCTGGCAGTTCGTGGCGAAATAGTTTTGAGGAAAAAATATTCTCAGATTATTTGCTGAAAGAGATTCTAATGGTTCTACTTTGATTAAAAAAGTTATCTAAACAATTTCGTATCATCGTGAATGCCCTACTTTACCGTAAATGATCTCAAAGAAACACGTCCGAGCTGGATCAATACAAGAAAAGAAGTTGATTTAAGACTTGAATAAATCTCGAAATCAAGGTACATATATCGAGAGAACCCTAACAAAATATGGGTCGATAACGGAAAAGTAACGACTTTTTCAGAAATTCTCGGGTGTTATCTGAACAATAATTAGGATCGTGAAAAGTAGCGAAAATGACAAAACTTATAAATCAATGATTTAGACGGGCGGTGCCTTTAAACTGTCCACTCAGCTGGAGGGTTTAAATTATTATATTTAATTTATAGGTGATTTTGACGTAGTGCGGGAGTACGACTCTTGACTAATGTAAGAGTTGAAGTCCGATTGAAAAAGTGGAGCGTGGAAGTTGCTTTGAAAAAAAGGGACAATCGCGCTTTGACAAATTTTGACGTGGTTAATACATAGATTTACTGCATTTACCACGTCAAAACTTGTCAAGAAGGCGAGATTGGAGACCCCTCCTTTTTTCCTAAGCAATTTCTACACTTCAGAATCCGTTATTTTTAATCAGACTTGAACTGTTGCGTCAGTCAAGCCGTGCTTTCGCACTGCGTCAAAATCCCACCCCCTTCCCCCCCCCTCCCTACTCACTTGACATGGACAATACCTTCAAGCTGCCACGTCGCCGCCTCTATTTGAATCTGAGGGTTGATGGTACATACTGTAGTAATTATCTTATAGGATATAGAATAGTATATCATAATATATTATATTATAATGATATCTAGGATATCATTATACCGCCTCGAAGAAACGTTGCCAATTCATGGCAGATAATGATCTCTCACACTTTTGGAGACGCCTTTGCTCCTTACATCGTCGGATTGGTGAGCGAACATATAGCACTTCGTTGGTTCTTCAATAATTTTTTTTGTAAGAAATCGTTATTACATAGTTTTTTTCGACTCTAGAAAACTTTGAATAAGTCTTCGAATTTTAAAGGTTTGGTCTTAGGTGATCCTATTAACTGGACTAAATCAATCGATTCTCTCTGGAAACTAGTTTTGATTTTTTTTACCTCGCTTCCTTCACGCTTATGCAGGGGCCCGCGTTTCTTGGCTCTGAATTGACCCAGATGATGTAACTGTGTAGGTTGACTTCAAAAATAAGAGATACTTTATTGGTGACTAAGTGGCAAATCCGGCTCCTTCGGGCAGTGTCAATACGTATGACAGAAACAACCATCTGTCCTACCCATAGGGCATACCAACCACCATCGGTCGCTGGTATCCAGGGGATGAGGGCGCGTGCGTGCCGCAAGCAGAGGAGACTGTACTCAAGCGCAAAAGCACCGTGTAGACTCATAATCTTAATTCATCCCGTATTCACCTTCTACTCTCATGTTATTCGTTCTTTGCCCTACTTGATTGTTTCTCGAGATTAGAGGAGAAATATGCACGAGTATTTTGAACAAGCTGTGCAACGTCCTTAAATCTCCTCATCTTAGAATTGGGATAGAATCAGACTGTCGAGGTCAAACGCGGTCATCCAACATATTACCTGTTCCGTTACTTTTATGTAGACAAGAAATGTCAAGATGTTGATGCTGATCGTGTCGTGTGAAGCATGGAAGATAATATATTTTGACATGCAATCAATGCAAAATGAAGCTCACCAAATACGCAAGGAGCTCTATACATATCAGCAAGAAACTTTCGAAGAGAGCGATGTCCGAACCCAACTAAAGTTCTGCTTACTTACGCTTCTGTGCCAACTAAACCTGCCCTAAACATCATGCACAAAACCTTACATGTTCTGCTAAAAAAAAATTCAAAAAGTTGACTCCTGTGCTCTTAACACGCTGAAACTTACGTGCCTATGCGCCCCTTGACGCCCATTTTCGTTTCCTTACATTCATAGGTATGCACGCCAATAGTTTCGGAAGAAATGTAATCGCATTTGTATGAATGCTTACTACAAACATGGCATGCTGGTGTTGTTTGGCTTTTCGGTATGTCAGCATAATGCAAATAAGTACTTTCAGGAGGCAAAGAGTTTGTACAGTTGAATTTTGCCCAATGCCGAAATTTTTTGCCAATATCTGCTTTAACAAACAGCTACGCTTGAAATGCACGCATTTTGCACTAACTGCAGGTATCTCAGCCGTAGTTATGGATTGGGAATGCTTGTCGTAAGCGACGTACCCAGCGTAGGCACATGCACATGAATAGAGCGCATATTTTACCGCAAAACCTCGGCACCGCATAGATGGACAACTTGGAAAATTATCTGACCTTTTCGAAGTCGAGAATAACACTTTATGGTGCGAAAGAAATTGTGCACAAGCTTCTTATATGTGATCATAACTTAGAATGACGGGCTAAGGATTGTTTACGTTTGTCTGTGTATGTGTGTATGTGTATATGTATGTGTATGTGTATGTGTATGTGCATGTGCATATGTATGTGCAGGCCATCAATTTCAGCTCAAAAAGTAATCAAAAAGTGCAATTTGCGGGTAAATGGCGTCAAAAAGGGTCGAAACCGCACAATTCTCAAGCTTTTGAAATATTGAAAAGATTTTTGCTTAAAGATGTAGCACATGGTGGTCACTGTCCGTTATGGCACCTTTAAGCCGTAATGAATTCAATAACAGATTTAAATTTGCGTTTCTCTTTCTGCGGAAAAATTTCTTCTTCTACAGGTCACTGATCTTACCAGGAAAAGCTTTTGGAAAAAGTAGTCGTTTACCATTCATTATGATGCTCAGCGTTGCGAGCTGGGTTTCAAAGCCGTCATTACGCGAATAAGGATTGCATAACAGATAGTAGAGCCAGTGCGAACCTCTGCTTCGCAGAGGTGACGCACTGGTGTCAGAAATATCCCGCTAGATGCTTGTGTTGAAAAATCGCATGTTTCATAAACAAGGACAAAAACCTCTCGCACGATGTATACGCGTGAATAAGTGCGAGTTTCGCCTGACATTTGGTTGTCAGCTTGTTGATTTCAAGCATGTTGGCAATGTCGGACAGACAAGAAACAAACGATTACAGAGGGTCAAAAAATCTATTTTCCACCACGGTAACGCGATATAATTCGTAATGATCTGAAAGCGGTCGCGGGTAAATTTTCGACTATAATATCTTCGCTTGATCAATCTTGGCCGTAGTGCTGATGAGGGAAGCATTAAGAGTAGTAAAAATATCGAAAACAGGCATCTTTTTCAAGAACCTCATCGATTATTTTATCAAAGCCCTCAAGCTACTGCTCCAGCAATCCTAAGCACGAGAATTTACGGCTGAACGTTGATCCTAAGAGAATGGCTTTGAGTATACTTAGAGCATTTTTTTGCTTCGGTGCTTATGTTTTGGCTTTCGCGAATTGCTATTGGTTCAAGCAGAGAACGTCTCATCATCATTAATCTAAACAGGAAAGCCTTATTTATCGGAGTAACTTTTTCCACTTAATGTCATCTTTTGACGCGCTTTTGAACGCTGGTTCCAAATCTGCTTTTCTTTTTTGCGAAACAGTTCTCCGATTGGAGTTATAAGCGCTTGAATGTTCGAATCTGTCAAGCTCTAACAATAAGAGGCAATAGCGAAAAGCCTTACGAAATACATATGCGAATCTCCACAGAAAGTGTTCCCTCTTTGTAATTGATATACTTGATACGAGTTTGATTACCTACTTTCAGTGTATTTGTAAGCTTTTCGCTAATTTTGCGCCATCTTGACACGACATATTTGAATTTTCAAATACTCATAACTTCTTTCGGCACAACAGCTTTGTTTGGAGAAGATGAGTTGCACCGTGTTAGATGCATTTAGGCAATCTACGGAACTGCGGCTTACATTTATCAAATGTTGCCTTTTTTGTGATTAGGCAGTGTGATTTTGCTGTTTTGGGGCCCCTGAATAAAAAACTTCAGATTTCTGATGCGATACGTGGTGATGACACTTCACCAGGCGCCAATTTTTATTCGTTGATAAAATCATTCTATCTCCCCAATGCTTTGCTACTGGTCAGTGGAATTATGTTCTTCTTTGCGGCATGTACATTTGTGAAAGATAATAAGAAGTTTAAGAAAGTCATGGGTGAGTTTTTTCGCAGTTCGAACATTTTTGATGCTATAAAGTATAGGAGTACTACAAAGCGGAAAAAGCGATGCTCCTAGACCAGATACACAGCAGCCGAAAGCAGAAGCAGAAAAGCAGGAATCTACTTAATTTAGTCAAAGCCAATAATAAAAGTTGTTTTGTTTTGTTTTGTTTCCGCATTTCTGCCCAATTCTAACTTTATACAAACCACAATTTGATGAAACAGAAAAAAACGGGACATGAAAGTTTAGGTTTCTTAAATTTTTAGGAATTCAAATTAAAAGTGTAACAGGACTTAACCGACAACCCAACACTTTACTATTTGTCTCAATACAAAATTTCTGCCCTGTTTTCGATTTCACAGATCAGTTCTTTTTTGCAACCTTGCTTGCGTAGTAACTACTAGAGGTGCAAGAAATTAGGACTTGGTAGTAGAAAGCAACGAGTACTGAATTGTTAAACTGAAGATAAAGTCGATGTTCGCACCTCAGATTAGCTGATACTGAATTTGAAAGTAAGAGCAACAACTGCATGAGTGGCTTTGAAAAATCGGTACGAAAGCTGAACTTTGGAAGATCTTTTGAGCGGATTCAGTGGCCGTGTTTAGTGGTATTCATCATTGCTACCTTGAAGTAAATCTTACCTTCGGTTAGATTACTACACAAACCCGTATTTATCATGGTATCTTGAAGATGGTTATTTGTAAGAAAAATCTTAAAGGCAGCGGCTCGCCAAAGCCGAGCATCCCGAAATTCTGACATGGAAGGTTGCTGGCACCCCTGAGATGAGAACAGAGCAGGTCCGAATGCACAGCGTGCTGCTTTTGCCTATAGAACCCTGTTACGCGCAAGCCATTCTAATACGCGCAGAAAAGCTTGCGATTCTCCCTGATCCGTCAGAGAAGTCATGCCGTAAGGTTATAACTACGAGGGTCCCGCAACCCCTGCCTCTCTAACCATGGCGGGACGTGGTCCACTCGTCCAAATTCAAAATGGGATGCCTTGACAAATGCCTCCCAAAACCACGTGTGCGTTGGATTTGAGAAAGGCGATTGCTGACTTTCGCAAGGGTAACGCTCTCCACTTCCTCAGTGCTCAACTCAAGTTTTACTAAAACTTGGCAATCATTGTATCTCTTAATAATGTAAGCACATCAGCAAGATGGTATTCGGCTCTTGTTGATGAAAAATTTACTAACCCAGATTTATATTTGGTAATCCACTATTCATTTACCTTCGCCATTCTTCCAAGTTTTCCTTCTTCGACCTCAGACAGCACTAGCTTCAAGAAAGTATTCTCCACAGCTGTAGAGCTGCTGCCCACTCAATATGAGACTTTTTCAATGTTTACTCATTATAGAAAAAATCAAAACACTGTGAAATGGAATATTTGAAATTGTAGAGCAGAAATACAAATATTTTGCGCACTTCAAGAATTCACGAGCTGCAACCAAAAACCTCTTATCAGTCGAACACCATCAGAAAAATATGCAGAGGTTTTCTTGGCTGGCTACTAAATTAAAATTGTGAAGCATTTCAGAAATGTTGAAAACGTTTACAACCATCGATGGCTGAACGAGCGCAGTTTTCTTCAGACAGGCAAAACGTCGTAGCAGAAAAATTTTTCAATTCAAGCAAATGGCATAGAGGCGATTACTGGAAAATCTTAGAGCTTGGAATAGTTGCATAAGTAAACATTAGCCTCTCCAAACTGATGGTAACACATCACACTTCAAAAACATGAAGCTCCTCATGTGAATACACGTTAATATAGAAAGAGCAATTCATCGCAAGTACGTCATGTTTTCAAAAAAAATTAGTGCTTAACATTTTGATTTATCTAACTTTGAAACATAGAAGATGAAAAACAAGAAGATACCTTTAGAAATTATACCTTGGGGTAGCAGTCCGACAGAAATGTGGTTCACAGCGATTATTGTCCTTATGGCAGCTAGGAAGTTATAAAAATTTCAAAATCATTTCAAACTCGTATTTGTTCTTCTGCGATAGGTCTTACCCACGCGAATAACTTTGGGAATGAGTAGTTGTTTACGACTCATTTGTGGGTGGAGGACTATATGTCGCCGATGGAGGAATCCCGCGCGGATTCCCTGCAGGAACGCATGTCCGCGCATGTACAAGGATGCGTATTTGTCGCAAATGACCGCGGGGACCGCCCTTTTTCGGCGACGTATAGTCCTCTACCCCTCATTTGTGATAGTCATCATTGTGCAGTGAGTTTCATTGACATTATTACAATGAGTAAGATATGGACAGTAACACAAGTGCGAGCCTCTGCGAAGCAGAGCTGACGCGCTGGTAAGGAAATGAAATGAGCCGTAAGCAGTACCTAGGATTGGTGTATAAATATGGCTCAGAAATCAAAAAAGTTTATAAAAGCAGAGAATTGGAAACGCTGAAATTTTTTTTCCCGTTTAGAACAAGAAAGTTCAGATTACTCTTTAACTAAGAATATTCACGTTTATTTTATTCATTCATTCAGGTTCTAACGTTGCGCTGGAATCATCGACGCAATGTCAAGCTTCAGACAAGAGTATGAAACCGATAATTACATTTTTACAACTTTAGTATATACTTTCTTCATAAAAATGTCAAAATTCGCTACAGTAAAGACCATTTAATACGGCGGTATAGTGTGTTCAACTGTAAATTTGATTGTGATTTTGAGTGTGATTTCTCGTATTGTATTTTTGTGAATTTCTTATGTTGTCATTAGTTTGGATTTTTGAATGCATGTTAATGTTAAGTATAAGTTTCTTGAAGTGCTGATCGATATACCTTTTTGTAGCGCGCAATCTCTGAGGGAATCTCGCGTCCAATGAGGGAGAGTCATACCAGGATGAAGCAATTTGACCGATAGTATTACTTCGCTAGTCATCTCCTCCACCAAAACTATCATAGAGGCAAGATTCATCATGTTGAGTTGTCCGCAAGATTTACATCGCATATTCTTTGAGAGTACATGTGTGATTTCTCTTCCAATTCGAGTGAATTGAATTTAGCCGTTGTGCAGAGTTAAAGTTGATGCCGGAAGCGAAGAAGCCTCAGAAAGCTGCCTAAATGAACTGTAGCACTGCAGCTGGAGCTTGCACTCCGCATTCGTATCGTGTTCCTGTCCCTTACAAAAAGCTGCGGATGTCTCGGTCGCTGGCCAGTACGGAGCGTATTTGAAGTCAACGAAGCAAATCTGCCGCTCCTTAAGCTTGATGTGCCTCCGCACCGTGGCTACTATACTTGGGTTCGAATCGAATAGAAATTCGATCATTCGAATAAAACATTCGAATATATTCGATTCGAAAATTTGATATTCGGAGTTTTTCCATTTTCGAATAATATTCGAAATTCGAATAATTGAGTAGACGGGGTTTCGAATAAAATTCGAAAATCGAATAATCAAAAAACAGGATTTCGAATAAAATTCGAAAACTCGAAAAATCAAAAAACGAGGATTCGAATAATATTCGAAAACTCGAATAATCGAAAAACGGGTTTTCGAATAGATTTTATTCGAATGTTTTATTCGAATGTTTATTCGAATTCGTATTCGAATGAACTCCGTATACAAATTATTCGAGTTTGTTGCAGAGCCAACTGTGAGTACCAAGCTCGCTTCGTTTTCGTATTTTTTTACAAGACCAGGTAATGCATCTTTTTTGCAACCGTAACGACCTTTGAACTGTATGGAAAGTCGCAGTCCTCCGACTGCTTGTGATAGTAAAAAAATAAATGTGGATTTTAATTAATGCTTTTTCGATCAATGAGTTACAGATGTCTTCAGATGTAACGCCAGCTCACCACAGATGTATAGCGTGTGCAAGCCTCATTTTAAATTTCAGCTCCAGCCAATTTCATTTGCTGCTACTCTGCCAAACTGCCCTTGAAATGTAGTGGACGCCTGACAAGTGAGGTCTGCTGTCGAACAAAGCGGCAGGATCAAAGTGCACAAATGCGGTTACCCTACGGTGCATAACGCGCAAGGATCACGAAGATGCACTGCATGTTACTACTGAATACCTATAGATCAGTGGAAATCGCTGATGATTATTTTTGTACCAATTCTTAATCTATTCTCAAAAACAACTTGTACTGATTTCCCATGAAATCCCATTTGTTCATTTGAATGAATCCAGACAGCTGGCTACTAACCTTAATTTTGCTATGAATCTGACATGCCTCTGAACAGCCCTTTTAAGAAAATCTCTAATTCAGTCTCGAATCTTTCTGAACGTCGAAGTAGATCAAAGTGAACTTCATTGATTTAATTAGAAAAAAGCATTACAAAGCAAAGAGTCGAGAGTTTATCGATTTTATCGATTTTTGAGAAACTTTGAGCTACGGAGCTGGGAGTTGGTACAGGGGGGTAAGTGAGGGTGCTGATTATGAATAAAAAATTTTTTATCGATTTTATCAATTTTTGAGAAACTTTGAGCTACGGAGCTGGGAGTTGGTACAGGGGGGTAAGTGAGGGTGCTGATTATGAATAAAAATTTTTTTTATCGATTTTATCGATTTCTGGGGAACTTTGAGCTACGGAACTGGGACTTGGTACAGGGGGGGGGTAAGTGAGAGTGCTGATATAAACAAAATTTTTGTTTATCGATTTCACCGATTTCTGGAAAAGCTTGAGCTAGGAGTTGGTGTAGGGAATATGAGGGTGCTGATTATGAATGAATCGGTTTAGCCAGAAATGTCAGCAAGTTTTAGATATGTTGCAGTAGTTATTCGAAAAGTCATTCGAATATCTATTCGAAATTTGACTCCCAATGTTCGAATATATTCGATATTCATTCATTCGATCTTGATTTTCCGAATTTATTCGAAATTCATTCATTCGAGTTTTTTTCATTTTCGAATTTATTCGATATTCGTTTATTCGGGTTTTTTTCATTTTCGAATTTATTCGATATTCGTTTATTCGAAATTTTTCATTTTCGAATTTATTCGATATTCATTCATTCGATGAAAAATTTTCGAATTACCCAAGTATAGTGGCTACCTCACTGGCTCAGTCACCTTGCATAGACCAAAATGCTACAAATGATTTCACAAGCCATGGTCTAAATAGATTCTAGGCTAGAGGTGTGTTCTGATACCTAAAACGTTTGAGGATCAACACTGCCCCAATGCAGATTCCGCGGACTACTGGTCCTCACTTGTATGCAATGGGTAGGGGTACAAAAGCCGCCAGTTTGAGCCGTTTCCGCGGACTACTGTCCTGCAGCGACATGCAACAACACTGCAAAAGGACTCCGCCAGTTTGGTCGCAAAAGGCGGCTCAAACTGGCGGCTTTCGATCCCTACCCGCATGCAATAACATGGCAAGTAATAATTCTAAAGCAAACACTCGTTAGCCGTAATCGTTGCTTTCACTTGTCATCAAAGCACCTGGAACTAATTTGAATTGGAGAACAAAGTCGGATACTCTAAGACATTTTTTCGACCAAAGTGTACGACCCTCGAATGTAACTGATATGTACAGAGTCTCCCAAAAAGATGTGCACACTGTTTGGTCGTTAATAACTCTCTTGCTTTCATGTCTTTCGCCAAGCCTGAAGCACCATTCTATAGAGCGAGGTTCAACTTAGATCCACAGTATGGAGCGAATCATCGATCACTCATCAATACTGTAGGATTACGGTAGAAACTTCGACAAGAATTTTGGGCCATGGCACGCCATATTCTGCCTCGGAACAAAAACAAACAAGCCAAAAACTTCTATGCTATGGTAGTGGAAGCTGCTGATTTCGAATATGAATTTTTCACATTACTTTAATGCTTCTTTCCTAAGTTATGTCAGGTAAACCGTAAAGACTGAATTCCCAGCATTTGTTAGAAATGTAATCACACCGTCAAAAAGGTTGGAAACACTCGTAAAAAGTTGTTGGGTGGAATCAGCATGCGCGAAAACCCTACTACATGATTTTTCAGATTTTTGAAAAAAAACTTCGTTAGGCCCCGGTCAGACTTCACGCGACTTAATCGTCGCGACCTAATCGCCAAGATTTCCATTCATTTTCATTTCACATTCAAAAATTTCGGGCTGGAAAAGTAACACAACCGAATGCAAATTGATCGGCATGGAATGATGTTGTAACAGTCGTCTCGTCGCGATTCAGTCGCGACGATCAAATCGCGTGAAGTCTGCCCGGGGCCTTAGGTGGATATTTCACAATGGTTTCATATGCTGGAAGTTCCTACCGTAATCCTACAGTAATGAAGAGCGATCAATGATTCGCTCCATACTGCAAATCTAAGTTTAACCTCGCTCTACAAAATGGTACCTAGAGATTTTCGAAATACTTTATTACAAGAGAGTGATTTACAATCAAACAGTGTGCACATCTTTTTGGGACACCCTGTATGTGCGTATTACCATTTAAGGGCCGCATGCACTAACATCCCCGCGGAGAGGGGATCGCAGCTTAAAAGAAAGCTTTATATTTCGAAACTCCAGATATCTGGATTTCACGTTGTGTACCTATCCGAAAGTATTCCTACTACCCTTCACTATGAACACGTTGAAGAGGAGCGAGAAGCTGTACGAACCGCATATTCCAGCTTTTGTATGATCCCTGATGATCCCCGGCGCTTTTCTTTGAAGTCATTTTTCTTTCTCCGAAGTTAACGAAAAACCTCCAAAGTTGTGCAGATTATCTAACCCGACAGTGCTAAGCATGTTGCTGTTAAGAACAAACGATGTTTTGGAGTCATGAAATTTTCGATGATCCACAGGTCGAAATTTGAGGTTTACCGAAAAGTTCGACTTTTTCAAAACATTTGTTCTCATCAGCAACTTGCTCAGCACTGTTGTGTTAGGTGTTCAGTACAACTTTGGAACTTTCGTTAATTTCGAAGGAAGAAAAATGACTTTAAAGGAAAGCGCCGGGGATCATCAGGGATCATACAAAAGCTGGAAAATGCGGTTCGTACAGCTTCTCGCTCTTGTTCAACATGTTCATAGTGGAGGGTAGTAGGAATACTTACGGATAGGTACACAACGTGAAATTCAGGTATCTGGAGTTTCGAAATATAAAGCTTTTTTTTTTGAGTTGCGATCCCCTCCCCAGCGGGGAGGTTAGTGCATGCGGCCCTAAGTGTGGTGTTGCATCCCTGAACATAGATTACTTTTCTAAGAAGGTAACTGGCAATCTCTGGACTCCATTCCAAGCATGAATGAGCAGCACTGAAGTCTATCGTTTCAATTCTGATAACGATTGAATTGTTTTCCTACTTTTGTGTAAGCTAAAGTGCTATGGTTCATTCACTGGTGCATTACCTCGTCGAGATGTTTCTACTCCTCGTTGCAATTATAGTTTGTGTGGCTCTGTATCTGTATCTCCAGCAAGAGGTATCGAGTCCATTGGTTTCTCTTCGTTTGCTTCAAATAGTGTTTCAGGCTGATCAAGGTGGTCAAGTAAGTAGTGAAATGGAGACATTTTCCGATTCTATGCAACGCCACTGTTGGCCTTTTTTAGAAAGGTTCCACTCGTACAGCTGAAGGCAAGAAAGTGTCACCACGAAAAGAAACTGCTACTGAACAAACTGTGAGGTCTTTAATCCTAATAAGCTCATTTGAGCTCTAGCTTTCAAGATTAGTACTTAACAATTAGGTTCCTGAGCCGTCTGCACCTCTCTACATCGACTGCCTGAGTATGACCAAGTATTTGAACGAAAGCTGTTGCGAGCGCGGTCGACGAATGTCAGCAAGTAATTTTTGAGTAGAATTGATTCAGGCCATCCGCGCTCGCAAGCAGCCTTGCTTCAAATAACTTGGTCATCGTCGGCACTTGACTATAATCGCAGTTATGTAGCATTTATCCACATGCTTTCAAACTGATTTGGGCTTGCAAAGTTCACGGTGAGACACAAGTATGAAATTATCTTACCCAAAAAGGGAGCTCAAACTTTCAGATGTAATATCTAGTTTCGACACCATGCTGCTAAATATACTTTTGAGTTAGAATCCGTGACAAATCCGTATGCCCATAGCCCTCCAATCTACCACTGTTCCCTTATTTTGTACATAGTGATGAAAATAATTTCATCCTATTATTTTTTTTTCTGCGCGTTCTCGATGTACCACTTGTCTCTCATGTCAGGAATTTAGTAAAAGCGAGCGTTATCACTAACTCCGTGAAAATTGTTCAAAAATTGAGGAAAATTGGGATGTTAGCAGTGTTAACCAAAAATTGGCAACTGATTCGCCGGTGCCATTTTTTTGCAGTAAAATTAACAAGTCGCGCCGCCTCAACATTCAACTATTCAAAATTTCTTTGAGAAACCCAAAGTTGCTCCTGCATCCGAACCTCCTCCTCCACCAGCAGAAGCGCCAAAACCCGCCGAACCTGCTCCACCACCACCTTCTAGTAAGCCGGCAGAATCAGCTCCTTCAGGTAATAGTCTCATCAAATCTAAGCATTTGAAAATGTGTGCTCAGAGTTACAGCACCACCACCATCAGGAGACAAACCTGCAGAAAAAGCGGCTCCGCCACCAGATAAGCCTGGTGAGCAAGCTGCTCCTCCGCCAGCGGATCAAGCTGGAGCGCCACCGTCATTAGGGGACAAAGCTGCGGATGCATCAGTGGAGCCAGGTGGTAAGCCTGCAGACAAGCCAGTAGAACCACCAACTGCCGCACCAGCAGATCAATCTGGAGCTCCACCACCTGCGGAGAGTAAGCCTACAACAGATCAAGCAGCCCCTGCACCAGCTGATCAATCAGGAGCACCACCGCCGTCGGGCGACAAATCAGCGGATGCTTCAGTGGAGCCAGGGGGTGGTAAACCTGCAGATAAGCCAGCAGATCAATCTGGTACTCCACCACCTGCAGAGGGTAAACCCACAGACCAAGCAGCCCCTGCGCCAGCTCAACAATCGGGAGCACCACCGCCGTCGGGCGACAAATCAGCGGATGCATCAGTGGAACCAGGGAGTGGTAAACCTGCAGACAAGCCAGCGGAACAACCAGCTCCCACATCAGCTGATCAATCAGGAGCTCCACCACCTTCGGGAGACAAACCTGCGGAACAGGGAGCCCCACAAGCAGACAAGTCGGGAGCGCCAGCACCATCAGGAGACAAGCCTGCGGACGCACCGGTGGAACCGGTTAGTGGTGCTCCAGCCGACAAACCTGCCGATCAGGGTAGTGCAAGCGCCTCGAAAGGCGAAGATGAGAAGGTTAATTTAGCATTCTCTATATAGAATGTAATGTCTGCTTTTTCAGCCAACAGATGATGTGACAACTGCTCGAGAAATAGAGGATCGGCCCGCAGGTCAGGCACCTGGTCCAGCAGACAAGCCCGTAGAACAAGGAGGGTCAGCACCAAAAGAAGATAAGGTTGCGGAACCCGGAGCTCCACCCTCAAGCGATAAACCTGCAGAACAGGCTGCTCCATCAGATCAGTCCGGTGCTCCAAAACCTGCAGAAGGTAAACCTACAGACCAAGCAGCTCCAACTCCAGCTGATCAATCTGGAGCTCCGCCGCCGTCAGGAGACAAACCAGCGGATGCATCAGTGGAGCCAGGGAGTGGTAAGCCTGCGGACAAGGCAGCAGATCAAGCAGCACCCGCACCAGCAGATCAATCCGGAGCTCCACCACCGTCGGGAGATAAACCAGCAGAACAAGGGACTCCATCAGATCAATCCGGTGCTCCACCACCTGCAGAAGGTAAACCTACAGACCAAGCAGCTCCAGCTCCAGCTGATCAATCTGGAGCTCCGCCACCGTCAGGAGACAAACCAGCGGATGCATCAGTGGAACCAGGGAGTGGTAAGCCTGCGGACAAGGCAGCAGATCAATCCGGTGCTCCACCACCTGCAGAAGGTAAACCTACAGACCAAGCAGCCCCTGCTCCAGCTGATCAATCTGGAGCTCCGCCACCGTCAGGAGACAAACCAGCGGATGCATCAGTGGAGCCAGGGAGTGGTAAACCTGCGGACAAGGCAGCAGATCAATCCGGTGCTCCACCACCTGCAGAAGGTAAACCTACAGACCAAGCAGCTCCTGCACCGGCTGATCAATCTGGAGCTCCACCACCATCGGGGGATAAACCTGCAGATGCATCAGTAGAGCCAGGAGGCGGTAAGCCAGCAGAACAGGGAGCACCTACACCAACAGATCAGTCCGGAGCTCCACCATCAGGAGACAAGCCAACAGAACAAGCAGCACCTGCGCCAGCAGATCAGTCCGGAGCTCCAAAGCCAGCAGATCAAGCAGCACCTGCGCCAGCAGATCAGTCCGGAGCTCCACCATCAGGAGACAAGCCAGCAGAACAAGCAGCACCTGCGCCAGCAGATCAGTCCGGAGCTCCAAAGCCAGCAGATCAAGCAGCACCTGCGCCAGCAGATCAGTCCGGAGCTCCACCATCAGGAGACAAGCCAGCAGAACAAGCAGCACCTGCGCCAGCAGATCAGTCCGGAGCTCCAAAGCCAGCAGAACAAGCAGCACCTGCGCCAGCAGATCAGTCCGGAGCTCCAAAGCCACCAGAACAAGCAGCACCTGCGCCAGCAGATCAGTCAGGAGCTCCACCTTCAGGAGACAAGCCAGCAGAACAAGCAGCACCTGCGCCAGCGGATCAGTCAGGAGCTCCACCTTCAGGAGACAAGCCAGCAGAACAAGCACCGGCACCTACAGAAAAGCCCGCCGAACAAGGAGCTACCGCTGGCGAAAAACCCTCGGAACAAGCTGGGCAGGCTCAGCCTGCGGCGCCATCGGATAAGCCTGCGGGGCAAACTGGTGCAGATGCCCCCAAACCAGGAGATGATAACAAGGTAAACGTTATTTTTTGTTTGCTAAAAAAGCGTGGCATTTCCTTTTCAGCCAGCTGAAGATGTAACAACTGCCCGAGAGATAGAAAATAAGGTACGAACTTATCAGTGTTTTTATCGGTTCAACTCAGCCTCCATAAGTGTAAGCAAACACATTCGTGACTGAGGTGTTTCTACGTAGCAATGCATGCGGAAAATGCGGAAAACAATCACAAAAAGGAAAAGTGATGCAGCTCAAAAGTATTTAGCATATGTTCTGCCTGACACCTACTTACAAGGGAATGGCCGAAATTCGAAATGGCCAATCCCAGCAAGCCGTATACCTACTTAGATGAGTTATAAAAATGTGCAAGTGACTTGTTTATTTTTGTAAACAATTAAAATAATTTTTAAAATTTTTAAAAATTCAAATTAGCTTTATAAAATAAATTTTTTTGGGGGCGCCGCTAACGCCACGCCCCCTTTTTCCAGATTTTATGGGTTGGAGGCTCGCGAAAATTTGAGAAGCCCCCCTAAAAAATTTTCGGAGTGCGTGGCTGACGCCACGCACCTCCATTTGAAAATTTTTTTTGCCGCCCCTCCCCCCCCCCCCGAGCCAAAATCCTGGGTACGCCACTGGTATCTGCTTATCGACCTCTTACACAAAGTTATGGCCCTCCAGTCCACCATGAGGCCGCCGTGCATCATAAATACTTGTCGCTTTCACTTGAAGACAAGTTGGATGCATAGCGTAAGGGTAAGCGTGCAGATTTCATAGGTCCAAACCCCACTTTTGTTATTGTTTTCAAGTTCGATTCCTTTCGCTAGCTACCCTTGCAACCCATCCCCAAGTTCTATATTGTCAGCGCGAAGTCGAAAACGTTTTCAAACAGGTAGTTCATCATCTACAAACTACGAAAACTTCTTATTTCCGATTTTAGAGAACAATTAGATTTGCACAAAAATCATTGAGCAATTATAGAGTGCGATAACGATATGCTGAAAGTACAGGAGAGATCCGCAAAAATGTTCACTATCAAAGTCCTGAGAATTACAAAGTTTTTGAAGCGCACTCTAGCCTTTGACCGAAAATGTATCGCGTCAAGTCAGGAAACCATTTTTCTATTTATCAGTTTCAGCTTCCTCTTTCTTGCTACTTGCTTCTGTTCGTTCTTGCATTCCCTTTCATCATCACTTTTATCCTTTCACTATAATTATCCTCAATCCTCAAGAGAGTTTAACTGGAAAAAAAATATGAGTTTTCGAAGCCTTTAGAAGTTGAAGTAACTTTTAATCGCGTTAGGGACTTCGTGTTAACAGTATAAATATTGGAGATGGGTTGCAGAAAACTGGCATGCAAAAGTAATCAAACTTGCAAACAAAATTTGTGACTCGCCCCATGATTCTACAAACTTACCGATCGCGCTATGCGTTCAACTTGGTTCCAAGGTGGAGCAACCAGTATTCGGCTTTACGGCGGAATCAAGATCCATAACTCTGAATAGGAGACCAATAAGCAGATACCGAAGACGGATATGCAACCAGCCCTCCATGGAGTGTTTAACGGTATAAGGCTTGCTGGATTAGCCACTTCATGTTTCAACCATGCACTTGTTAGTGCAAAAAAACTAGAAGCAAAACATTGAAATTGCTCGTTTGCAAATTGTTACTAATGTCTTATTTCCTGTGTTACAGCCAAGTGAAGCAGCCAGCAATGCTAAGCCAACTTCAGAACAGGTACCGTTCTTTTTCAGCTGTACAGCGGGCAGAGTATCGTAGACATTTGACAGTTTTGAAAAACCTATAACTTCTGAATCAATTCACTCACAGCTTTCCAGATTTTCTTGCTATCAAAAAAAATCGTGCATAGACCACACACTCTGTCAGAATTTAGCTGAGCGAGAATCTATAGAAACAATAATGAGGGTTAACACTACGTTACAAACCCACGATTATTCCAGCCTCAAGCTGCTGCAGCTCCAGGTCCTGGTCCTCAACCTCAAGACATTGACGTAGCCATAGAGTAATCTGCTACGTTTTCCCGCGTTATCTATACCATGCAAGACATCGTATTCTGTGCGAGATATTATTCCAGATTTCTTGAAACATTCTACAAGCTTGCACTTACTCGTCTTCCAGTCTCTGTCTTAAGTCTGGAAATATGTACTTCTACTCTACGTACGGATATGTTTTAGTTTCGTTTCTTATGCTAAAGTTTCTCTGATCTTGTAGAATAAATGTTTATTGCAATCTTTGTGCCAGCCAGTTGCTTTGCTAATTCTACGTTGAAATAGAAAAGATACGAAGTTTCTAACGGGGGAAGTCACTTAACTTAGGTCGCCTTTTAAGAAATGTCTGCACTTGGAATCGGCATGGAAAGCTGAATCCAAATATCTTGCTAGCTGCGAAGGTCATTCTGAACAGAGTTATAGGCTTTTTTGTGAAAAATTAGAATGCTAATCGACCTACAGAGATTATCAACATTTAGGGTTAGTGCACATGCGTAATGCTCCCTATCAGCACCAAACGACTTAATGTTATTTCAATATTCCAGCACCTTTTCTAAGCAGATCTCTACTTATAGGCTAACTTCCCACGTTCAGTTAATTCTATTCAGAATAACGCTTCCGAGCTAGAAACAACAAAGTTGGATTCAGCGTTCCAAGCTGATTCCGATTATAAGTGCCGTTCATCAGAGGGCCGACCTAAGTTGACCTTGTAAGATGAATGGACATGATTTTATTTTGACTTAATATGTACGGGAGTTTTGTTGCAAATGAGTCCGTCCATGATATATGCGCAGACTTTTACTGAAACAAGTCGAGCATTATCATTTTTGCATCAGCTTCTCTGCACAATGTGCTGGAGATCACAGATCTAGAAACTCATCAGAGGGCCGACCTAAGTTGATTGCCTTCCCTTGTAAGATGAATGGATATAATTTTATTTTGACCCGATATGTACGGGAGTTTTGTTGCAAATGAGTCCGTCCATGATATATGCGCAGATTTTTACTGAAACAAGTCGAGCATTATCATTTTTGCATCAGCTTCTCTGCACAATGTGCTGGAGATCACAGATGTAGAAACTCATCAGAGGGCCGACCTAAGTTGATTGCCTTCCCTTGTAAGATGAATGGATATGATTTTATTTTGACCCAATATGTACGGGAGTTTTGTTGCAAATGAGTCCGTCCATGATATATGCGCAGATTTTTACTGAAACAAGCCGAGCATTATCATTTTTGCATCAGCTTCTCTGCACAATGTGCTGGAGATCACAGATCTAGAAACTAATCGCTTTTTTTGCACATTTGCACGTTACGATGAGACCAGCTCTAATTCACTAATAGTACCTTTGATTTCACTTCAACCAACCTCCCGTTAGATATAAAAACGACTGCCTTTCTTGTTTCTGGATTTCTATGTAGGCGAAGATGTGAGCAGTTGCAAGAAAGTTATTGGGCAAATTGCAAAGTTGGAGATGTACATGTTTTGGATCAATTGTGAGCCGGATTTTCAGCCCTGCACTTCTATAAAGTTCACGTCCGAAATTGCATTCTGCAACCACATACTAGGATGCACTTACATGCACAATTTCCTTAGAGAAATTGCTCACAAGGGAAGTGTCAGAAATCGCAGTGGCCGTTTGGGATGGGATGGGTGGTGTGACACGTCACCAGGAAGGGCATTTTCAAAACCACCCTCGCTAGCTGCAGAACTGCTCTGTGAGGGGGGCTACGGGCGTTTTTCCGCGCGAGACCCAGCGCGCCTTGCTCGTATGCGACTGCCACCGTCAGCCAACCGTAGCGGTGTGGCGCAGTGGGAAGTGTGCTGACTACCGTGAGGATGTTTGGAGCTTCGAATCCCCTGTTAGACAACTTTTTTGCAATTTATATACAAACTCCTAAAATGTGTACATTAGTGACCAAAACGTGTTTTACCCCTCTACTGGTGCTTAAAAGCAAAAAAAACACACCATGATAACTATATTCAAGGGGAATGTCAAACACTGTGGAACTATACGAGAAAGCACAAGAAACGTGCGGAAATGAAAAATTTGAACGAAATGAGCGCCAAACGCAGATTGGGCGCGAAACCTCGGGGCTTTGAGAAATCACAGTCGGTCTAAATTCAAAATGTTCTCCCCACAGTTGGTGTTGGCGTGCTTGTTAAAAGATTTTGGATCTTGCAACATCACGCGCGCGCCGTCCAGGGCAGAGCAAAAGGTTGTACACAGCTTCGCGGCAATATTGCGCGAAGCTTCCTACAATAACCTTGACATTGATAACGAAGAAGAGTTTGACGTGGATGATTGCGAAGTGGATCCGTCATGGAGTGGTGATGATGAGGACACTTCTACAGTTGAAGTCCAGGGATCCATCCAATTTGGTGATGTGGAAGTTTCTAAAGAACTGGTGTGCCCATTGCTGGTTTGCCTCTGTGGTGATCATCATCATACACACTCTAGGTGGAGGAAGCACTAACGTTCTACCGATCCGCAAAAAAGGGTGCGCGCTCTCTGTCTTCTATGAACGCTAATTTTCGGTTCATCAGCACCGAATACCACCTACGGAAATTGCGCCAGATCGAGAAAGAACGTAAGTCACTACAGAATCTGTATGAAAGATAGAACTTTTTTACTTGTAAGGTGAAATTGCCGCCGATCGAAGAGTGCGCTTGAGATCGCTTGCAGAAGAGCTCAAGGAAGTCGTCCTGTCGAAGTTCCAGTTGGGTATATCCTTGCACGATAACGACATCCGCCAAATGGCACTCAAGCTGAACCAAGAGCGATTTTGCATAGAAAATTACAAAGCCAGTTTCTCTTGGATTGCACGCTACAAAAGGAGCTCTGGGATCGTATCCAGGCGGATTATCACCTTCACTTCAAGAAAAATTTTCCGCAGAAGCACAAGCATTCGTTTCGAATGTAAAAAAGGTAAGTCTGTCAATAAGCCAATTCAGACAGTTCTACAGTACTCATTCAGAGCTAGAGTCTTGGCAACATGGAAATGTGTGCAATGCCGACCAAAGCGGCTTTGTAAAAGAGATGCATCCATCTCGATCACTTGCTCCTAAAGGCGTTAAGAAAGTGCAAAGAATCGTACAGTCGACGTCATCAATAACTCATTCGTTTACGGTGATGCCGACTATATACGCGGACGGACACCTAGACGACAAGTTATTTGTAGTTTTGCAGGTCAGTGGAAACACCTCACACCTCTACAAGAAATAATTTCAAAAAGATGTCAGGAGCCTCAAGGAAAGTTTCCCGACAAAGGAATATTCCAAACTCACAACCTGGAGGTTTGAGCAAGTACGACACATATGATGAATAAAAGACTGCTCTTGGACTGGGTTCAGAATTGCCTTATGTCCAACAAACCTCCGGCTAGACTTTTACTCGTGGATTCTTGGAGCTCTTTTAAGGATCATGAGGCTATCAAATCCGTGACTCCAGAAGGCAGTGATATCAAAATAATGAATATCCCACCAGGAACCACTTTGTTAATTCAACCTCTCGATGTCTATTTCTTTTTGCCCTTCAAAGGAATGTATAAGAGATTTACACACACGTTATTGCTCATGATCTTTCCTTTTCTGTCCATTCTCGTGATTCCATTTTGCGCTTTCTCTCTCTTATCTACCATCAATTTCGGGCTCCCCGTTATAGAAACTTTCTGAAGTACTCCTGGTTCAAAGCGGGTTACATCAGCACGCATCCAGATTCCTTTGAAACACCTCTACAATACTGCTTCTCTTTAAACATGATAGGAAACTGTGATGAAAATTGCACCGAGGTTGCCTTTATAAGATATTGCGAAAAACTTTTTTGCTTCAAGCAAATTGTTCTAAAATATCATATATGTGACAGGAATCTTACTACAGGTTAAAAATGCATTTTTCTCGCTTTTTCCACTGTATTGTCTGCTAAATCTGACAATAAAATTTCATCTTAATGAATGCTTCACCACGGTGCAGAAGGTCTTCGCAATAAAATCACTTTTTTGCTTTTAAGCACCAGTAAAGGGGTAAAACACGTTTTGGTCACTAATGTACACATTTTAGGAGTTTGTATATAAATTGCAAAAAAGTTGTCCAACAGGGGATTCGAACCTCCAAACATCCTCACGGTAGTCAGTACACTTGCCACTGCGCCACACCGCTACGGTTGGCTGACGGTGGCAGTCGCATACGAGCAAGGCACGCTGGGTCTCGCGCGGAAAAACGCCCGTAGCCCCCCTCACAGAGCAGTTCTGCAGCTAGCGAGGGTGGTTTTGAAAATGCCCTTCCTGGTGACGTGTCACACCACCCATCCCATCCCAAGCCACTGCGATTTCTGACACTTCCCTTGTCAGAGCAAAAGCTAGCAGATACGAAGGGCAGAGTTAGAATCAGCCTTTTACTTCATTGAATGAAATGCACTCTTCGCGAAAAGGCCATTTCGCCTTCTGACCCTTCCTTTGTTAAAGGGAAGGTACCCTAGTACCGTTGCCCCTGTGCATGAAATGTATGAAAACACTTGTTGTGGCTTGTTTAGCTGGACACCGGGATTGGTATATCCTTTATTCGACTAACGTTTCGGCGGTATCGCCTTCTTCAGAGTCTGAAATCATCGAATGCATAAGTGAACTATCCTATCAAAAACCGCCTCAAGACCTAGGAAAACGCCCAATGCGTCAGTGAATCAAGAACTCGAAAGTGAATGCAGGATTAAACTAATGCTCACCTAAACAGATGCCGACAAAGTGGTATTGCAGACCACTATACCAGTAACTGAGCTCTTACTTTCTTATATACCTATTCGCCTGGCCTCAAATTGACCTCAGAAGCCGCAAAGGCTCTGATAAGGCGCCAACTCATTAGTGATGTCTATGCACTCATCTTTCCTATTCAAATTTGGATTTTTGGCGGCAATCCAAAACGCTTCTAAAGTCTTGCGCGCTAGGATTTCGGATTCGTACGCCAAGATCGTGACCTCCACGCGTATCTCTGCGTCATTATGGAACTGTCTGCGATGCTTGCCCAGTGGGGTTGCCATGTTCGATTTTTTGAGCCCGTCTAGGTGTTCTTTTACGCGTATACATAGGGGCCGCCCCGTCTCGCCGATGTACGTGCCTCCACATGTTTGACAGGTGATAAGGTACACCACCCCCGCAACCATGCAGTCGCCTTCCCTGCCCTGC